GTGCTACGAATTTAACCTGAAACAACTTGTTAATGTCCCAACTAGAGGCTCCAACATCCTAGATCTAGTATTAACTAATCTCCATGGTTATTATAAGAAAAATTCACTTCAAATTTACCCACCGTCTAGCAATCGTACAGTCATTAAGAGAGACCTTCGACCTTCACGAAAAAAAGAACTTGGACGTTATTTTAGTCAAGTCAATTGGGAAACTCTTACTTCAGTCAATACATGTGAACAAAAATTTGACCTGTTTTCCATGTTCGTTCATACGGGTCTTGACGTGATAATCCCAGTGAAGAAAATCATCCTCCATCGTAATGATCCTCCGTGGGTTACCGATGACTTTAAACGGCTCATACGTCTGCGTCAAAAGGCTCTACACTCAGGTAACAATGCTAGTTTTAAATTCTATCGTAATAGAATAAATAGAGCAAGAAAATTGTGTCGTGCAGAATTTTATGCATCCAAAGTTAAACAATTAAAAAAGTCTAACCCTAAAAATTGGTGGCGTGAAGTTAAACGTATAAGTGGGTGGTCTCTTTCTCCGGGCCTACGAATCTAGTATCACAATTACAGACTATAATCCAAAAATAATCCTACTATGCTGGATCTTGCGAATTTAGTTAACAATAGTTTTCTGCAACCGACTATGAATTACAACCCCTTAGTTTCAGATATCCTCCATGACTTGTTCTCAGGAATCACCGATGAAACTAACAACTTTGAAACAATTGAAAGGTCGGATATTACCACCCCATTGTCCGTCTATAACAAGTTGAAGTCTTTGAACCCAAATAAAGCTTCCGATCCAGACGGTATCTCCAATTGGGTTTTGAAAGAGTATGCAGAATTATTAGCCAACCCTATCTCAGATTTACCACCTGCCTGGAAACAAGGAAATGTTACCCCACTACCTAAGGAGAAATTGGTACGTGATATCAACAAACACCTAAGGCCAATATCACTTACCCCTGCGACTTCGAAAATAGCAGAAGAAGTTTTGGTGGAACGTTACGTTGCCCCTGCCATTTTGGAAGTTGTCGATCACCACCAATTTGGCGGCATTCGGTGTTCCTTAGCAACACATGCTCTCATTAGCATGATTCACACCTCATGGTCCAAGTCAACCGACGGAATGGGCCGCTCTGTTTGAGTCGTGTTATTCGACTACCAAAAGGCCTTTGATCTTATTGACCACCAGATCCTTGCAAACAAGATCTGCCAACTCTCTATGCCACTTTATGTTAAGAGATGGGTAATTGATTTCCTAATGTTTCGACAGCAACGAGTAAAGCTGCTCGACGACTGCTTTTCTGACTGGCGTGACATACGATCTGGGGTGCCCCAAGGTACCAAATTAGGGCCTTGGATTTTTACCATAATGATTAACAATTTGGATCCGCAGTCAGTAGATAGATGGAAGTTTGTCGACGACACAACAATCTCTGAAACTGTTTCTAAAAATAGTGCAAGCAATATCCAAAGCGCTGTTGATTACGTCCAAAAATGGTCTTCCGATAACCGCCTTAAACTTAACGAGCTTAAATGCAAGGAACTAGTAATTGATTTCAGTCGTGTGTAGAATACCTTTCAAAGAATAACTGTCAATGAAAATGAACTCGAATTAGTCTCACATGCCAAAATTTTGGGGTTGGTTATTAGCGACGACCTCAAGTGGAATGATCATGTTTACTACATTATTAAGAAAGTGAATAAACGCATATACTCTGTGGTTCAATTGAAGCGAGCCAAAGTCGCCGCGTGTGACATAGTCCAGTTCTATTCCATATGCATTAGACCCATCTTAGAGTATAGTTGTCAAGTCTTCCATCATGCATGGTTTACCAGAATATCTTTCACTTGCAATTGAGCGTGTTCAGAAGCGTGTGTTATCCATTATATATCCCAGTGTTGAGAGCTACGCAGATCGTTTGGAAGTGAGTGGCCTTTTCACATTGCAAAGTCGACGTGAAGCTGCTTGTCAGAAATTATTTAACAACATTAAAGACAATCATAGTCATAAGTTATTTCCCCTTTTACCACCAAGACATTATTCAAATTACAATTTAAGACAGTCTAGGGATTTTATTCATCCACGTGTTAAAACAAAGAGGTTCGAGGACACTTTTATTCCAAGCAGTATCAACAATGAATATAATTGTAAATAATCGGGGCTTCTTCATATAGTATGTTCTACAAGTTATATGTATATATATGTTATAATAATTGTAAATACTTAGGTAAATTTTTATTCCATAGTTTTTATCAATGTAACTACCACTCAATTCAGCCCTCGAGCAGCTATGTGTATAATTAATAAACATCTATCTATCTATCTATCTATCTATCTATCTATCTATCTATCTATCTATCTATCTATCTATCTATCTATCTATCTATCTATCTATCTATCTATCTATCTATATTCGCTATTCTTGTTGTACTGTATGCAATTTATATACCATTAGGCATTAAATAGAATGCAAATATTTATAATATGTTGTTTTATATACCGTCAATTGAAGTGAGTTGATACAGACATTTGGGCTGTGAAAGCATGAACATTCAAAACTACACTGATTTAATTAAACGAATTGTAGTTTTTAAAAGGAATCATTGGCATACCAATAAAGATTTTATTGCTTCCTGCATCTAGTTTTAGAGATAAGGAGCTATTGTAATGGGACACGTGGGTATTAGCCCCGATAATTTGTAGTCACGTGAATGTAATGCGCAGGAAACGGATAGGAGTGGTGATATAATCTACAACAGTATGTTCATCAGTTTATTCTACTCTTCAATCTGATCGCGCAAGGTCAACTCTCTGCCTGAAGTCAATTGATCTCCCACCCTCCTCCCCGTTACTTGACGCAATATTATTACATATGTAAATTAGTTTAGTTATTAATTTCTAAGTGGTGGGCGTATTTATTACCCCACCTTTTTCTGTGCGGACTTTTAATAATTAACTTCGGTTTATAATTTGTTATGTTAATAATTATCTCATTGTTTTAAAAAATTATTAAATCGGCATGTGCGTTGCGCAAGACGCACATTGCCATAATTATTCCAGTTGCTGTCAGACTTGGTCAATTGCGCAATGTTTGCGTACAGAAAACAGAGCTAATCGTTGCAACGGATATCTTGCTGACATAGTGTTAAAAGGAAAGGAAGCGATAAATATTTATTATTACGAACTAACTTCGACTGCCAGTCTGCAGTCTTCAACGGGTGGATGAAAATGAAGACTGCAGACTGGCAGTCGATCGATAGCACGTGATAATAAATATATAAAAACCAGAGAACATCTAAAAACTTATTAAATATGAATAATCCTGGTTTCGCTTCAAACATATTTAAATTCAAAACTATTAATTTTCGTTTGTTATAAAGAATTATTAGTATAGGTAATCATGCGATGGCGAGTACAATTAGGGATTAATAATACAAGTGATGTTTGGAAATTTTGCCAAAATTGGACGAGCCGCCGAAGCGAGTCCAATTTGGCAAATTTCCAAACATCACGAGTACTATTAATCCATAATTGTACGAGCAACATCGCATGATTACTTGTTTATTATTAGCATGACAAAATTGGATACTTCTCACTGTAACGTTAACATCATATATTCTCTCGCCAAAGCCCAGTCCTGCCAGATTTTCAACCAAAATTTGGTACTTTTGTCCGCATTTTTATTTAGTTCTTTTGTTAAAGCAAAATTTGGTGCTTTTGTTCGTATTTTCATCTAGTTCCTCTAGGGCAATTTCATTTCACGCTTGTGTTTGAAATACCTTTCCGCCATTTTGTTTGTTGTGGGAAAATCATTAATTGTACTGCAGTACAATTAATGAAATAATTGTACTCCTCTCAACCAATCAGCATCCAGTAATTTTGTCATGCTAACAATAAATATTATTAAATGGATATCGAATAGGTTTCTGCATGTTTATAGCAATGATAAACGTTTTTCTTTTAATAATATGACAATGTTTGCATGGAATATATGCACGTGAAGCCAAATATTAAATATGCTGGTTTATTAAACAGTACTTCATGTTCTAATTTCGATATTGAAATCTTTCTCATTAATTGTGATTTATTTTTAAAAACCGATATGAATCTTGAATATATTTGGACATCTTAGGCCTACTGATAATAATACGTCTTTAAGTTGAGCAACGGTTTGTTTATATTTGATACGCCGTTTTTCGCAAATTTTTGAAACAAAAAGCTACCGAATTTGAAGATTAATACTTCGATCAGTTTTTTATAAATATGCAGCTGTAATATATCAAGATCTAAGTTATCCTTTCCCCTATATAATAAAATTTATTTGAGTGTAATAGCTTCACTCGCTTTATAGAGGGGGGCAAGGGTATTTTCGTGACTCGTCATTAGCAATTATTCGTGCTTCGTGATTCGTGATTTAAAGAAATACCATTGAATCGTGATTAATATGCGTACCGTGAATCGTGAAGAGCTAAAATGCTAGCTATAGGATCTTGAACTTACCAATGTTTTACCCTAACTTGTGAATGTTAACGTTTAAAACTCGGACGGCAAAATGCTCGGGCACGGAGCAAGGGTGGGTAGTAGCGAAGTAGTTGTAGTTCGCTACTGTAACAAACCTTTCTGATGTTAAACTCCATTATTTCATTACTCAAATCACTATGAGGTTTACATTCAACATTGCACGAGTGTTTATGAAAGAGTGTAAATTGAATTTATCAGGATTTTTGGGCATCTAAGTCCATGTACATAATTGTTCAAGGCATTTATAGATGGAAAATTTTAGTCTAAATTTTATACATTTATTAGACCTAACAAGGAGCAGTTGCGAATATATTCTTCTTGACAGGAATCGAACCTCCAATTATGACCTGCTTGTCACATTATTGTGTCCAATTAATATAACTAGTAGATAAAAAGACAAAGATAAAACTTTTTTTAAATTAGTAACAGAAAATTATTCCGTTTCAGTTGGAGCATGGTGTATTCAGAATTGTTTGTGTCGTTTCAGCCAATATTCAAATTCTTCATTAATTAATGTTGCCAAAGGATCTGCAGAAATACTAGGAAATGAACTGTGTGCCCTACCTGGTTCGGTTGAAAATGTTCGGAGTTTTCGCAAGTCTTTCATGATTTCTAGCTCATCTGACACTGATGGTTGGTGACTATGGGTACCTGATACTGCTTGCTTAATTGTTTCTGCATTAAGATTCTCAACGCTTTGCTGTATGCCTCCAACTGCTCTGCTGGCCCAATCAATGGATTTGTCTGTTTTGTTTCCACCCATTCCTTTTATTAATTTCTTCAAGTCTTTGTTACGATTTTCTTGAAGAACGTCGATTTGAAGATCGATCCATTTGGTGGTAGCAGACCAGATAAATTGGTGTGCTTCTTGTTCGGTTAAGAGAACTTCATTCTGAATTATATTTATGAACATTTCAATGGCAAATGAGTTAGAAGAAATAAGTAGGCAAGTAAGATGAAATACTGTAGGAACTGCAACGAATAATTTCTAACGAAATCTGAATCATTGTCCTCGTTTGTTTGGTCATCGTTTTGAGATTGATGTTGCGGACCATTGAGTGAAACCAGAACTGGGCTCAAAAAGTATTCTTTCTTGGATAACTTGTTAGGCATCAAATCTGGACGAGGTGGAAGGACAATCATATAATGTGTCCATCTCAAAAAACTCTAAAAAGGCTTCGACTATGTAACTTTTATACCAACACTGATAAAGAGCTGTTCGCAATGTCCGAAATGCTTCACGTTCAATGTTACATTTCGTCTTTGAAGTTTCTCTCTGAAAAACCGAAGTGTACCTAACTCTCTGGCAGAATCCTTAAACATCTTCTTGAATATTAAGTAAATTAGCAATTTAAAATGATATAGGTTAAATTCTTATATATAACATTACAAGTCTCACGCCTGTTTTATACGTCGAATTTTAGTCGCGTCGAATGCAATTAAGACAATGGATAATAAGATGATAAACCTCAATAAGCTTCATTATATATTGTTTCAATTGCATTCGACGTATAAAACAGGCCTAAGCGCGGTTGTATAAAGCTCTCAGGTATAAAACTAGTTTAGTAGTAGTTATCCCTTAAGTAAAGGACTTCAATTGGTTGATTTTTGCCCGAAATGTGGTTACCTTTAACTACATTTTTGTACAACCTGTACAACCTATAGTGGTTCTATATGTTGAATAAAGAAATTTCATGTCAAGAGAAGCCTTTGTTATTCTGTTAACAGCAGATGATTTGAGCTTCGGCTTGCTGCAATGAAAATACAAATTTAGCGTAACATATTGTGACTATTGTTGTCTACGTGTTTAGGTAGTGGTGTTGGAATATGTGTCACATGTATATTTGTACCTTTAGAAGTGTGTGCCAGTCGACAATCCGAAATGGGTACAGATGATCGAATCTGTCCCTTGCGGTGTGACATCCGACACGAAGATCTTTAGCTCCGGCTAGTTTGACCCTTGCCAACTGGTCGCCATTTCATGGTACAGCCGGTAATGGATCCCTCGCCGAACGAGTTGGTGGAACATGGGATTGTGGTTGGCCAGGACGGGCTGAAACGCCTTCTTGAATGCGTTGACATGATTGAGTAAAGGTGAACTCAAGCGGGCTACATAGACCAGCCTTAGCGTACAAATCATGAAGCCATATACTTCCAGTTTATCGAGAACATCTAGAAGATCGGAATATTCTTTTCCTATTAACCGACAAACTAAAATCTTTTGGAATTTCCGGTCAACTTCTTAACTGGTTCGCTGATTATCTCCATAATCGGAGACAGCGTGTCGTTATCGAAGGAGTTTCTTCATCCTTCCTTAACGTTAAATCTGGTGTGCCACAAGGTAGTGTCATAGGTCCACTACTTTTCCTTTTGTATGTGAATGATCTTCCAGAGGTAACTAAGAATTCTACTGTTGCACTTTTTGCTGACGACAGTAAATTTTACCGTGCAATTCATTCACCAGCCGATCGAGATCTCCTACAGACTGATCTTGACTCTATGCACAGCTGGTCGATCTCTTGGCAATTGAAATTTAATGTATCTAAGACGCACTTGCTCAGAGTATCTCGGAAACGCAACTCTCCAACTCACTCTTACAACCTTAACAATCAACCTATTAAGACTGTAGCTAAACAAGTCGACCTGGGTGTGGTTGTGAGCAATGACCTTAAGTGGTCCCCTCACATTGCCAGCTGTACTGCTAAAGCCAACCGTTTGCTTGGTTTTCTTCGGAGAAATTGTTCTCAAATGACTGATACTCGCTGCCGTCGGCTTCTCTACCTCTCTCTTGTTCGATCTCACCTGTCTTACGCCAGTGAGATCTGGGCACCTCAAGCCTCGTCACGCGATCTTGCGATCCTGGAGGGTGTTCAGAGACGAGCTACTAAATTTATACTTCAAGATTATGAGTTGTCTTATCTTGAGCGTCTTAGGAAACTTAATTTATTGCCTATATCTTACTGGCTTGAAATAAAGGATCTCATCTTTTTTTTTCAAATGCAAACAAGGCCTCTACGACCTAGATATCTCCTCTTTTGTCACCTTTTCTTCTAATCGCTCATCTCGCACCCGTTCAAGCAAGGACAACTTGCTTCAAGTCAATCCGTGCAAAACGTCTCTTTTTTTAACCGAATTGTCTTTCTATGGAACAATCTCTCTCCAATCATTCGTAACAGTTCGTCTGTTTCATCCTTTTAGTTCCAGCTCCATTCTCACTACTCTTCTCAATTAGACTCTTCTTTCGATGTTAACAGAATGCGCACTTGGAAAACCTACTGCTCTAAATACCGTTCTTTCAACTTAAGCTGTTGTGCATAATCTAAACTATTAATTTTTATATAGCTATGTAAATAGTGTTCTAGTCCTTGTCTTTAATGTATGTCTACTTATTGTGTTGTATCAGGTTTGTTTTTACATGGGACTCATGTCCTGTTGACCATACCTTCAATAATTGTTATATTTTTTGTATGATTGTAAAGTTAATAAATAAAAAAAATATATATATATATATATATATAGGCAGGATGTATAAGCAGGAACAAGATCTTTTAAAAATTTGAATTCAGGCAAGAAATCGCACAGGATTCTTGCAAGAATAATTTTATACCTAATTAAATAAAAGAATGAAATTACCCAATTAAAATGCATTACATCTTCATTCCAAATAACTGGAAACGGATAACTCATCCACATTTAAAGGCACATGCAGTTAAGCCTTTTGAATTATGGTTTTTAAGGCGCATTTCAGCCATTTTAATTGCAAAAACTAACTAGGAAAATCAATTAAACATAATTCAAGATCAGCAAACTTAATGTTTTTAACATTTTAAACATTTTTATTGCTAAAAACACTGCGTTTACTGATCATTCATTAGTATATAAGTTCAACGAGAGTTAAGTATAAAAGGAATATGAAATGTATACCTTTCCCTCCTGCATATAATTTCATGTCTATCGGGGGTCACAATGGTTCTAACATCTGATCTATCAAGTGGACGGTGCACGGTCAAACGCGAGACTAGTAGCAACTAGTCTCGCGTTTGACCGTGTACCGTCCACTTGATAGATCAGATGTTAGAACCATACATGTACTTCTTGGTTCTGATGATCTGATCTCATTTCGTGTACTTTAACGGTCCAGTCTATGTTGTCAAGCACAAAAACAAATTGGTGACCTTTCTTTAGCAACTCAACCGCACTATCCATAAAATGGGCTCCAATTTCATCTAGTAATGGATACCTCATCTTCGAGCTAAGACATTGTTTAACTGATCCAGGAGCTGGTTAATTTAAAAGAAAATGAAACATATTACCTTCCTTAAATCTCTAGTTGATGATGGGCCATTCCATTTATTTTTTTTTTGCATCTCACTCGATTCAATAACAGTGGTTTAACAGAAAAATTTCAGGACAATGACAAGTAAAAAGTCACAAAAAAGTTTCCTATCCGTGCCCACTAAAAAGGGGGGTCCAAATTTCACAATTTTGCCAATTCCTGCTTTTGGGGCCACATATGTACACTGTAGCTCAGTCGGTTATGGCGATGCACCGGAATCACAGGTCGAATTTCAGCCAGGGGCCTATAGTTGCATTTTTTGCAGCTGTTACTGGTTAGATATAATAAATGTATATAAATTTACAATCAATAATTTCCGTATGCAACAACAATCTTCAACTATTCCATTTAATACCCGTAACCCCCCTATAGAGGTCCTTGGAATTCGTCAGGGGTAAGGTGATTTTTAACCCTAGAATTCATTCAGATTTGAACCGGCATCAATTAAAAGTACTGTATTAACTCGTTGTATCAAAGTTCATTGTTTGACATGTCTGAACATTATCAGCCCGTATATCAATGCCAAGATCATGTTTCCATGTTCCTTATCTTCCTCCACATCTAACGTCACAGCTATAATCTTGCATGTACATCGTGGGACACAGACGACGATTTCTTCAACTATTTCAGCAAATTTAAGGTTTGATATTCTGTAAAAACCATTTCTTCGTAAAATAGAATTTGTATCTCCACGTGCTACAACTTTAATTTCTTCTTGTAACTCAAGTACATATAGTATTCTCATTGAAAAACTTGCAAGTGGCAGCGCCGGCTAGTATATCAGCCTAAAAATAAGAAGTAATATAATTATACAGTATGACATAATTATATAAATCAGAGAAAACCAAGTATTAAACATAATTACCCATATTGAATGTCAAAAACTATTAATAAATCGTGAACAATGTAATAATCATGCAATAACAATGTAATGCAATGCAAAAGAATGATTCATTGATATGGGTCATCGGTCAGTGAAGTTTTGTATTGTTAATTTTAAGGTTACAGAACACCTGGTTTCCATGATTGTAGGCTATTAGCCTGATTCTTGATTATATTTGATATTTTAATAACAAGGAGCACTTCACTCAAACGATTCAGAAATATAATCATGCAGTTGTCAAAGAAACCGCCATATCAGCGAAATGACGAAATGATTATTTCATTACACATGTTTGTCAATGTTACAACTTTACCATGTTTTGCATGCTCTGGCGAACATTTGGTGAAAATTTGATGAAAATCGTACTGATATTGAGCGCGCAGTAGCGATTTTTCGCAAAACGGCCAAAAAGGGTGTCCTGTATTAATCTAAATATTGCACCGCAATATACAACAATCGAAAACAACAACAATAATATATATGTATTACAAACTACGATATAATCTATTAATCTGCGGACCTTTTTATTGGAAAATAAAGCTATTCAGTGTGTCATTAATTATTCATAAATTTTAATTATTAATAAGTGTTTAATTCAATTAATCAATTAAGTGTTTAATCATAATCAATTTGTACGCTGTTTTAAACAAGGTAACAACATGAAAAACTTGATTTTACATGGATTGATAATGTTAAATATATACTGTATATTGAATATTACATTTACACAATTATATTTACTTAAGAGATTAGCCTATATTTACAAAATTTAAAAGTTAATATATTCAACAATTTGAGATTCGTTTAGGTTAAGATATAAAAATTGGAAGTTTAGACAAAGTCGTCAATTGCTACTAGCGACAATTGTCAAATAATCTGATGGCTTCACAATTGTTATATGGATTATTTTAAGTCAGTGTTATT